GCTAGTAAGCCAAAACAAGTGGAATAGGGAAACTGAGACAGAGAGTTAAACAGCAGTTTGCAGCCACCTAGAAAATCCTATCTTCCCTGAACCAAGGACACTTAAGAGTAAATGGTTTGCACTTCTCCTCCCCAACCAGAGGGTAAATAGCTTAAATCACCCTACTCAGGGAGACACATAGCAGGAATCCAATTAGTGCCATTTGCCAACCACACCCAAGAACAGATGAAGTTAAGAGAATAAACCTCATTTTGGCCCTGGCCAGTTTGGCTCAGCAGTTAAAGCATCGGCCTGTGGACCAGAGAGTCCTAAGTTCGGTTCCTGCAAAGGGCACATACCTTGGTTGCAGTTTGTCCCCAGCCCCGATTGGTGTCATGTGGGTGGCAGCCAGTTGATATGTCTCTCTCACATTGACGTTTCTCTCTCTCCTTCCCACTCTATCTGAAGATAATGCAAAAATGTCCTAGGGTGAGGATAAAAACAAAAACAAAAAAAACTCATTTTGGTTCATCAGAATAAAGCTGATGAATATTCTATGGAAAGCCTCCCCCTAAGACCTCCCCTAAACGCCCAGCCTTTAAAACCCCTCAAAACTGCCTGGCAGATAGGTTCAGTGGTTGAGCATTGACCCATGCACCAAGAGGCTGCTGGTTCCATTCCCAGTCGGGACACATGTCCAGGTTGGGAACATAGGAGAGAACATAGGAGACTTGCAACCACAGCAGCAATGGGCAGTGGCAGTTCATCCCAGGCAAACCTTCTGAACCTGTCCTCAAGGTCCCCTTTTTTCTAACTTCTTAGTAAGCCAAAGCTTACTAAGCTCATTTCCCCAGCTCTTCCTTGTTTCACTGTCCCAGCTTTAATAAACATCCTCTAAAATTCACCTGGAATTGTGTTGTGAAATATTTCCTACACAAAGTCAAGAATGCACACACTACCTGCTGGACCTAGGCAGACTCACTCAGGCAGGGCCAGTTTCCCTTTCCAGTAACACAAATAGGCCAAAGTTGTAGGTTCAATCCCCAGTCAGAGCACATACAAGAATCAACCAATGAATGCATAAATAGGTGGAACAACTAATTAATCTCTCTCTCTCTCTCCCTTCCTCTCTCTTTAAAATTAATAAATAACAAATTAAAAACAAAAAACAAAAGAATCACTCTGTTAGCTTATCTGTATCTACAGAAATTGCTTAGCTTATTAACAGCCATAGAAATGCCTCTCTTGCCCAGGTTGGGTGGCTCAGTTGGTTAGAGCATCGTCCTGATACACCAGGGTTTCAGGTTCAATCCTTCATCAGGGCACATACAAGAAGAATGCCCGGCTGGTGTGGCTCAGTGGTTGAGCATTGACCCATGCACCAAGAGGTTGCTGGTTCGATTCCTGGTCAGGGCACATGCCCAGGTTGTGGGCCCAATCCCCAGTGGGGGGCATGCAGGAGGTAGCCAATTGATGTTCTCTCTCATCGATGTTTCTATCTATCTATCTATCTATCTATCTATCTATCTATCTATCTATCTATCTATCATCTATCTATCTATCTATCTATCTATCTATCTCTCCCTCTCCCTTTCTCTCTCTATAAAATCAATAAAGAAAAAATAATAATCAATCAGTGAATGTGTAAATAAGTGGAACGACAAATTGATGTTTCTCTCAAATAAATCAATAAATCAAAAACATTTTTTTAGTATCCTTGTCAGTTCTGGAACTTTAACAAAAATGCCCTGTAGCCCTGGCCGGTTTGGCTCAGCAGTTAGAGAGTTGGCCCGTGGACCAGAGAGTCCCAGGTTCAGTTCCTGCTAAGGGCATGTACCTCGGATACAGTTTGTCCTGGCCCTGGTTGGGGTTGTGTGGATAGCAACCAGTCGATGTGTCTCTCTCACATCCATGTTTCTCTCTTTCTCCCTCTCTCCTTCCCGCTCTATCTGAAGATAAATGCAAAAATGTCCTTGGGCGAGGATAAAAAAAAAAGCCCTGTATTGTTTATTATTTCTAGATGAATAACTTGTGCTATGTAAATATAGGTAACTAGAAATCTTCTTTAAGATAAATAAGTAACGACCCTGGCTGGGTTGCTCAGTGGTTGGACCATTATCCCATACACCAAAAAGGTTGTGGGTTTGATTCTCAGTCAGGGAATGTACCTAAGTTTTGAGTTTGATCCCTGGGCAGGGCAATACTGGAGGTAACCGATCAACGTTTCTCTCTCACATGAATGTTTCTCCCTCTCTCTTCCCCCTCCCTCCCACTCTATCTGAAAATCAATATATTCTCAGGTGAGGATTAAAAAAAAAGATGAATAAATAACATTTAATCATTGGCTTTTAGGCTGGTCACCTGATTTAGCAAAAGGACATGGATTTGCAGTCTGAGGACCAGTGTTCAAGCATGGGTTCCGTCATTAACTAGCTATGTGACCCTGATAAAACCTTCACATCTCCCACGCGTTTCCTTTGTTGTTAAATATGTAGGAATCCATCACTGGAGAACCACCTTGAGGATTAAATGTTGTAATGAATGTCAAAAGTGCTTCATAACCTGTAAAGCACTACACAAACATTAGTTATCTATTTGCACTGGAAGTTCCAGAGCTCGGCCTGACACTTGACACAGAGCTTGTGCTGAATATTTGTAGTATAAATGAGTAAATCTCACTGATGAGCTGTGTGATCTCAGACAAGAAAAATCTCTATCTTTCTTTGGCCGCCTTTGTTCACTGGGCTCTAGCCATACTGCTCTTTTTCCTGTTCCTCCAACACAATAAGTTCATTCCTGCCTCAGAGCCTTTGTACCTGCTGTTTCCTCTGCCTGTACCACTCTTCCCCAGCTTTTGGTCATCCCCTTCTTGTCAATGAGGTCTTAGGTCAAATGTCATTTCTTCAGAGCCTTTCTCTGACTACCCTAATGTTCCTTCCATACTATTTACCCAAGATATATTCTTGTTTTATTTTCTCCTTAGTATTTATTACTATCTGTTGACTTGTTTATTATACTCTCCTCCACTAGAATAAAAAATACTCTACTAGAGCTTCCCTGTCTCTCTAGTTCACCACCATATTCCAATGGCCAAAACCCTAAATAAATATTTGAATAAATAATATTGAGCCCTGGATGGTTTGGCTCAGTGGTTAGAGCGTCGGCCCGTGGACCAGATAGTCCCAGGTTCGGTTCCTGCTAAGGGCACTTACCTTGGTTGTGGTTCATTCCTGCCCCAGTAGGGGTTGGGCGGGTGGCAACCAGTCGAAGTGGTTCACATTGATGTTTCTCTCTTCCTCCCTCTCTCCCTCCTGCTCTATCTGAGGATAAATGCAAAAAGTGTCCTCGAGTGAGGATTAAAAAAAAGGTTGAAATAATATAATTATATCAAAAGTTTCATTCAGCCAACTAATATTTTGTATGTACCTATGAGGATCCAGGCCCTATTTCAAAGTGCTGGGGATTCAGCTAAGAACAACATAGACAAGAATCCCTGCTTTCCTGGGTCTTGCCTTTTATTGAGGAAACAAACAATAAACAAGATAAAAAGTAAACTATCACTCTGACTAGTTTGGCTCAATGGTTAGAGTGTCAGCCCACTGACCAAAGGGTTGCCGGTTTGATTCCCAGTCAAGGGCACATACCTGGGTTGCAGGTTCCATCCCTCTCACATTGATGTTTCTCTCTCTATCTCCTTCCCTCCCTCCCTCCCTTCCACTCTACCTACAAAATCAGTATAGAAATACCCTCGGGTGAGGATTAACAACAATAACAAGGTAAACTTTGTCAGATAATGGTAAGTGTAAAGGAGGGAAAAAATAAAGCAGGAAAGGATATGAAGTGTGTGTGGAGGGGTAAAATTTTAGTTACAATAGGCAAAGAAGGAAAGAAGAGGCTGAGCGCAAGGACATATGGGGAAATACATTTCAGGAGGCCAGGGTAACTGAGATAGGCATGAAGGGGATGGAGGCCAACAAACACAATGGGAGATAAAGCTAGAGAGGTTAAGGGAGGTCATATTGTGTAGGGTCCTGTTAGCTAAACTAAGGGCCTTGGCTTTTTGAGGGCTTGTTTGGAAGTTCTAGCAGGGGAGCGCAGCTACTCCTATACACTCAAGGGAGGACCTGACCGGAAGACCCACTGGTCCTCTCCAATGGGGGGAAAGTCGTCCTCTTCCACCAAGCGCGCAGCTTCGGAGGGACACATATGGATCTGTAAGGGAGGTTGAAGACACCCGCCTAGCCAGCCAGATCAGCCGAATCAACCCTGGCGACCAGTGGGGTGATAGATGTCGCAGTCAGATCGCCCTCACATCCAGGGCTTTGGCTTTCTTAAAAGTGAGACAGTTGTTGGAGAATTTGAGCACTTGGGTGTCAATGATATGGCTTGTTTCAAGAGAGTAACTGGGGCTGCTGTGCTGGCAACACCTGAAGGGCAAAGGAAGGAACCAGAGGACTCTACAGCAATAACTTTGGCAAGAGATGGTAGCTCCGATAGAATTATGGGTTTGACAGTTAAGTAGGAAAGGAGTTTAAGGAGAGGTCTGGGCTGGTTAGCAGTTGGAACCCAAATGGTATCTATTTAATCATGGAATGTAGTTCCACTCTATCACTAACTTACTAGCAGTGAACTCTTGAGTAAACCACTTCTAGGTTCTGGGCTTCAGTTTCCCTACCAGCGAAATAGGGAAAATATTCCCACATTACAATGCCTTCAGGAGAACGAAATGAGAAATGTCAAAGGCTGATCGTGTGCAAAGTGAGACGCTCCCTCTCCCTCACCCCCAGCCAAGGACTGCATAAGCCCGTCCAGAAGGGAGGGAGCTGCTGTGGAACTGTCAACTAGCTTCTAGAATCTATAGCAGGTGACCACCCGAGAGCTCTCAACTGTTACCCTGAAAAATAACCGCCGGGGCGGGGACAACAACACGGTCTGCGCTCGTAACCTCGCGAGATTTATTGGCCGGGCATGTCACCCTCCCAGCCACATCTCGCGAGACCAAGGTTCTTGAGCGGCTATCAGCGAGTTTGGGCTTGCGGAGAAGATGGAGTATCCTGCGTTGGTCATGGTGGAGGCCATGGACAGCAGAGGGGCCCGGCCATACAACAGCTCGGAGGAGCGGGAGGGCCGGGAACCGGACGGGCTGCGCTTCGACCGCGAAAGGGCGTGCCGCCTGTGGGAAGCAGTGTCCGGGGCTCAACCAGTGGGGAGGGAGGAAGGTGAGTGGGGGTGGGGGGGTGGGGGTCTCAGGGGAATGAAGCCCCTTGCCCGCCTGCTTTTTCGAGGGGAGTGGCTGGAGCGCCGGGCGAGAACGCGGGCCAGCCCTGGCTGTACGGTCACACCCCCTGGCTTCTGGCCCGCCCCCTTGCGTGACGCACCTCGGGGACTTCCACGTTCTTGCACCCCATCGGGCCCGCGCGCCGTGGGCCAGCTCCTAAAAATCGAGACCGCGGCACGCCAGGAATCAGGTCCCCGCATCCAAATGGTCAAGGGCCGTCCCACGCTTAGGCCACGGGTGTTTCTGCTCCTTCCTCACCCACCAGAGCGCAGCTCCTACCAGGCTTGTGGCCTGTAATCTCTGTCCACGCTTTCTGGGAGACCCACAGAACCTTCCCCGCCAGACATGTAGCTCCCTCACCATTTCTCCTTGACTCCCTATCGTCCCAGTCTCCCCCACCCCCAGTGACTCTAGCCTCCTTTCTCTCATGCCCCATAGTTCCAAGGACTCTAGAAGGTCTTCTTTATACCCCCATGTTCCTCCTGACTTTGGTAAAAGAGCTCTGGCTTACCCCTATTTGTAGTTGTCTGGTCTCTACCTTTTTCTGAGTTGGGGGCCAGGAGCCTGAGAAGCAAGCTTCCCACCTTCCTCTGCATGTTACCCGGCAGTGGGTAACATGGAAATAGAGGAGATGGAAAGAGCTAGCCTGACATGGTTGTGTGACCCTCTTCACAGTCCTTAGCAGAGCTAGCTGCTTAACTCTACCCAAAAGTCCACCAGCTAGCTGGGTTTTTGAGGTAATCCTGTCAGGTAACCTTCAGGGCATTCCGATTTCTCTAATGGTTTGTTTGCTTGTTGAGCAGACTAATCTTGGAAAATTTAATGTTTCATTTGGGATAAAATGAAAATTTTCACTACTTCCAAAGACTATATGTTTCAGTGGTACACAGTTCTATATCCTTGTGTGTGTGTATATACTTTTCCAGTTTAAAAACTATTCTAACCCTGACCGGTTGCCCAGTGGTTAGAGCACCCACCTGCAGACCAAAGGGTGGACTGTTTGAGTCCCAGTAAAGGGCCGGACCTGGGTTGCACTTCCATCCCTGGCCCTTCTGGGTAAGGGCACATTTGGGAGTCAACCAGTCCATGTGAGGACACATTGATGTTTCTCTCTCAACCTCTCTCTCCCCCTTCCTCTCTCTCTAAAAAATCAGTGGGAAAAATATCCTCCAGTGAGGATTAACAACAACAAAACGGTAGTCTAGCCTGATTCCTAAATTATTGTGGTGAACACCTCCCCCCATACTTTCATACTTGTTTGGTACAAAGTCTGCTGCCCCAGCCCCCCGCAATTTTCCTTTCATTCATTTGACAAATATTCACCTATGCCTGATCTATTCCCAAGACTGGTTGGGTATCAGAGATGAGGAAAAGACTGTTCTTGCCCTGAAGAGGACTGTAGTCTGGTTCAGGAAGCAGACACCAAAGCAGTTTCATTATAATGTAATGTGTACAGTGAATAGGCAGGCCTAAGAGTTGGGAGTGCACAAAAAGAGGAAGTGACTTTTGTCCTCAGAGGACATAGAACCCAGCAACTGTGTGCTGAAAAATGAACTGTCTGTATGTGCATGGATGTGCAGTATCACAGCTCAGTTTATTTCCCTACTCTCCTCACTTTTACAATATTTACATGAGATCTAGGTAGATACCTGTAACACCAAGTTCTACTTACATTGGTTTTTATTTCTCTTTGTACTTTCATTGAGTTATAATTTACATACCATAAAATTTATCCATTGTAACTGTACAATTTATTTATCCATCACTCCAATTAATACCATTGTGTTCCTTTATTTTTTAATTTTAGTATCCAAATTACAGTTTACATTCAGTATTATTTTGTATTAGTTTCAGGTGTATTGCATAGTGGTTAGATAATCACCAAAGTTATTCCCCCTGATATTTCCAGTACCCACCTGACACCAGACATAGTTATTATGATATTATTAACTATATTCCCTATACTGTACTTTACATCTCCATGACTATTCTGTACCTACCAATCTGTACTTCTTAATCCCTTCACCTTTTTCACCCAGTCCCCTTCCCCTCTGGCAACCGTCAGTCTGTTCACTGTCTCTCTGAGTCTATTTCAGTTTTGTTTGTTTTGTTCTTTCGAGTCCACATATAAGTGAAATCGTATGGTATTTGTCTTTTCTCTGGCTCACTTATTTCACTTAGCATAATACCCTCTAGGTCAATCCATGCTGTTGCAAAGGTTAAGATTTCATTCTTTTTTTGGCCAATTAAATATTCCATTGTATATATGTATCACTATTTGTTTTTTTGTTTGTTTTTTTTGTCCCTTAATCCTAACCCAAGGATATTTTTCTAATTATCATCAGATATAGTGGGAGGGAGGGAAAGAAAGAGAGAGACAGAGAGAAAAATCTATGTGAGAGAGACATAACGACTGGTTGCCTCCCACACAACCCAACCAGGGCTGGGGACAAACCACAACCGAGGTATGTGCATTTGACCAGAATCAAACCCGAGACTCATTGGTCATGGGCCAACACTACCCACTGAGCCAAACTGGCCCGGGCTGTATCACTACTTTTTTTTATCCATTTGTCTATTGATGGGCACTTGGGTTGCTTCCATAGCTTGGCTATAGTAAATAATGCTGCAATGAACATAGGAGTGCATATATTCTTTTGACTTAGTAATTTGTGTTTCTTTGGGTATATACCCAGAGGTTGAATCACTGTTTTGTTTTTTTATCCTCCCCTGAGGACATTTTTGCGTTTATCCCTCAGATAGAGCGGGAGGGAGAGAGGGAGGAAGAGAGAGAGAAACATCGATCTGAGAGAGAGACATCAAGTGGCTGCCGCCCACACAACCCCAACCAGGACTGGGGACAAACTGCAACTGAGGTAGGTGCCCTTAGCGGGAACCGAACCCGGGCCCTTCTAGTCCACGGGCTGACGCTCTAGCTGCTGAGCCAAACCGGCAAGGGCTTCATTTTTAATTTTTGAGGACTCTCCATACTGTTTTCTATGGTGGCTACACCAGTCTGCATCCCCACCAACAGTACATGAGGGTTCCCTTTTCTCCACATCCTTGCCAACACTTGTTTCTTGATTTATTCATGATAGCCATTCTGACAAGTGTGAGGTGATATCTCATTGTGGTTTTAATTTACATTTCTCTGATGATTAGTGACCTTGAGCCTCTTTTTTTTTTTTTCCTTTATTGATTTTATTTTTTTATTATTATTTTTAATCTTTATTGTTGAATGTATTACAGATGTTCCTCATTTTTCCCCCATTGACCCCCCTCCTCGCCACTCCCGCCCTGCTCCTGCCTTTTCCCACACTATTGTCTGTGTCCATTGGTTATGCATATAAGTTCTTTGGTTTATTTCTTCCCACCCCCAACCCCTTTCCCTTTGAGGTTTGTCAGTCTAGCAATGAATTTGTACTTTTTTAAAAAAAACTCAATTTTTATTTATTTTATTTATTATTATTATCATCATTATTATTATTTGGTATTGCCCCTAGCGGGAACCGAACCCAGGACTCTCTGGTCTGCAGGCCGACGCTCCAACCTCTGAACCAAATCGGCCAGGGCGAATTTGTACTTCTTAATTCTTTCACCTTTTTCACCCATTTCCCCAACCTCCCTCCCATCTGGCAACCAACAAAATGTTCTCTGTATCTACGTAGATTCCATTGTTGATAGATATGTATTCATTGCCATTTTGTTTGTTCATATATTTTATCTTTTTTTCCAAAAAGACCCTTCATCATTTCATAGAATAACGGTTTGGTGGTGATGAACTCCTTTAACTTTTTCTTGTCTGGGAAACTTTTTGGCCATCAATTCTAAGTGACAGCTTTGCAGGATAGAGTAATTTTGGTTGTAGGTTCTTGCTTTTCATCATTCTGAATATTTCTTGTCACTCCCTTCTGGCCTGCAAAGTTTCTTTTGAGAAATCAGCTGACAGCCTTATGGGAACTCCCTTGTAGGTAACTAGCTGCCTTTCTCTTGCTGCTTTTAAGATTCTCTCTTTGTCTTGAACCTTTTGCATTTTGATGATGATGTGTCTTGGTGTGGGCCTCTTGGGGTTCATCTTGTTTGGGACTCTCTGTGCTTCCTGGACTTGTATGTCTGTTTCCTTCACCAAGTTAGGAAAGTTTTCTGCCATTGTTGTTTCAAACAGGTTTTCGATTTCTTGTTCTCTCTCTCCTCCTTCTGGCACCCCCAAGATGCGAATGTTGGCACGCTTGAAGTTGTCCCAGAGGCTCCTTAACACTATCCTCATTTTTTTGGATTCTTTTTTCTTTTTGCTGTTCTGATTGGGCGGTTTTTGCTTCCTTATATTCCAAATCAATGGTTTGCTTCTTGGATTTACATACTCTACTATTGAATCTGTTTAAATTATTCTTTATTTCAGTTAATGCCTCCTTCATTTCTGACTGGTCCTTTTTTATGCTCTTGAGGCCCTCACTAAGTTCACTGAGCATCCTTATAAGCAGTATTTTGAACTCAGCATTTGATAGGTGGCAACAGCTTGGGTGGGCCTGAAAGTTGGGTGGGGCGGGGCCCCAGGGAATCACCAGGGCGGGGCTACCAGTGTGAGCCAGGTTGTTGGAGTCCCAGATATGGCGGCTGTCTGCCACCCTAGGGTAGGGCTCAGCAAAGGAACAAAGGCCTCTGACAGCATGTTTGTCCCAGAGAAAGCCCCCTCTCCAGCCCTCGCTCCAATGCCAAACAGCTCAACTCTTCCCTGTATGTCTCTTATGCCCCTCAAGCTGCCTCCCCTTCAAACTTAGAGGGAGTGAGTCCGATAAGTCGGTGCGCGGGCCCTTTAAGGAGCTGCCTGGGGCTCTGTCCACGTCAGCTTCCCTGAGCCTCAGTTCCTGCTGGTTTTTCCAGCCAGAAGTTATGGGGACTTCTCTTCCTGGTACTGGAACCCTGAGCGGGGCGTCTGGTGTG